CCCCCCCCTCCCATGTTTAGTTTGCGCTGAGGGCTTCTTTGTTTGATGGTTTTACATTTGTTCTGAAAGGAAATGCGATACTCTTTTAATAAGCAAGGAAATGCGAGACTCAATTCACCTTTCACCATTTTCCGCAGTAGAGAGGAAAGAAGGGAAGCGAAAAGATATTCTTATTTATAGTCCGCTTGATCCTGATAGCTTATTTATTAGAACATGTGCTCAAAATGACAAAGTAATTAGGGGATGAAATTTTTCATGCTATTTTAATATCCGATCGTGCTCCCTCACAAACAACCACAACAAAAGCACGTATGGGAGCTAATTTTCGCGTGCACAAGAAAAGCTGACACGCTTTATTCCTGCGGGAATTTATCGGTGCCCTAGAGCAACAGCAACAATAGCACTAATCCTAGGATGATATGAAATGCTATAGCAGATGCAGAGAATAGCATGTTATTAGTTTTATAATGAAGTAGCATACGGAGCAGTATGGTGCTTTGGTGTACGAAAGATGAACTGGGCATCCTGATCGGCTGGTCGAGGAATTCTAGATACCACATTTCTGCTCGTTGGTTTCCAGTTTTCGCTTTCTTCCTCGCTTGCTTTGTCTCCCGCTTCATCGGCTCTGGTCATCGACAAGGGCCAGTCATTAGAAATAAACCTCTTGCTTGTCACTGTCCAGTCCGTCGTCAAATTGTCATTAGTCTGCAAATCCCTTGGAACACCAAATATTGCGCATTATAAATATGTCCTGCATTTTTTCAGCGACTTAGAACTTCCAATCCGTTAGCTCTGGTTGCGTTGCTGCTAAACGAAGTAAACTGGACGTAATGAATTCACTGGACTTACTCATAGCATATCTCCCCAACGTCTCGGGACTGGAGCTAATTTACAAAATCAGCCTCTCGGGAACACACACTTGCTACCTCATAGCTTTAACTATAGCTTAGGGCTTATGAACTGTGCTCAATGCAGAAGGCATGTTGCGTTCCTGCAGTTTTGCCAGGACTGCCTATTCACTCCTGTATCATTGAGAGACGCTCGAGTCAGTCTTGGCTGGGGAAAACAGTACTGGAACTGCGCACTTCCAACTTATTTAGGATATGGTACCATCCCATTATGCGCAATGAAAACAATTCAGTCCATGTGGCTGTTAGACAAAAGTTGTCTCAAAATACGCAAAATGGATTGGCCTCAACAAACATGCCTCCAATATTTCATTTGTTCTTGACTCGTTCAGTTTCTTCTCGCGCTCTTTTACTCGAACATGCGCCTCGGCCAGAATGTCAGGTGGTAGAACAGCAACGCCGCCTTTTGGTGCTACCTAAAAATCTGTTCCAGCAGTACTTACGTGGATACTATTTGTAAAATTTTGATTTTTCAGTCCTAAATTTCAGTTCCTACACCTTCGTACATAAATGCGCCAAAGTGATATTATTTTTGAAGTTTCAGACGCGGTGGTCTGTTCTTTCTCAGAATTATGTGGGCCTAAGAGACGCAGGCCTGCTCTTAACCTTGTGGATCAGTTGCAGAGTAGAAAATTCCACATGCAGAAGGTTTAGCAGCGAAATTGAATAAATTCGCAGGGCAAGTAATAAACCAACTTTTTCGATATTTGGTGTTTCGGAAGCTTTTGTGAATGTCGTTGATGAAATAGATGTAAATGCTGGCAGCACTGAAGGTGCTACTGGCGCTGCTGGTGGGGCTATTACATGATTCGCTGCAGAATCATATTCTCCCTCAAAATCACGGGGATAACACTGTTTTCTCGAATAGAATTCCCCCGATTCGGCGACTGGTTGCTCTAAAAATGTCGAAAAGTTCACGAAAAAGAGGAAACATATCAGCAAACACATGGCAGTGGGAGAACAATAAGGCCGCTCTTTTTTCGGCTACGCGTGAGAGAGGAGACGATGGAAGGAGCCAAAATTTTCAAGAATGAATGAAAAAATGCGCGGAAAAAGTGCTCAAAAAACCATGTGAATAGGCGTTCTGCTTGATCCATTTTACTGGCATGAAAATGAGGAACCTGAGTCCGGTACAGCATTAACAGGTGCACTGGGATCAGCTGTGGCGAAAGCTTGTTGCTGGCTGCCTGCATTCTTATCACTTCTTTCAGTAATAGTTTGTTGGACTTTGGCGCAGCTTGTGTCCCTGTTGTCATCGGACAGTAACTTGAAAACAGCCGAATAGAGCCATGCCATCGTGTACGGTATAAAAGTAATAATACGAATCAGGACATAGCATAAGGTGTAGCAGAATACACGGAATGCCTGTCCTAGCGTACTGGCACATTGCTCACCTAAGTACCTCCATGAACTTCGCCCCTTTGTTGTTACTTGCCCTTTTCCATACCGGTTTACTTCTGTTTTGTCTAAATCATTTTGTTCTTCCTTCGGCTGTGCTGGTGTTGGATTTCCAGATGATGAAATCTCCGAGTATATTTTTGGACTGTGCAAGCAGCAATTCTTCGTTGTACAGCGCGCATCGCTTCCAATTTTTTGCCACTCGGGTTTTCCTCTACAAAATTATTGTTAAATTTTAGGCTAAACTGAAAAAATAAAACTTCTTTAATCCAGCTTTATCTAAAGTCTTGATCATCATTTATAAACAGTCTTCTTGATACTTGCAACCTTTTTAGCTGTTGCAGAAATATGCCATTTCTCGCAATTAAAGCTCACCAGAATTTTTAAAGTTGGATGAAAGTTAGAAGAGAAACTACGAATAAATTCTGATGATGGCATACGCTTGTATGCGTTATATGTTTGCTTATATGCGTGCATGAGCGTATGTGTGCCCGTGTGTTTATTGTTTGTTGGCATATTTTTCAAAGTTACGGAAGTTGAAATTAAAAATTTCAGGAACATTATCCTTTTCTCTATTTCCTGTTTTT